GTTATTTTAAGGAGCCCTATCAGTGTAGGGTGTTTTTTAAGCCAGTCACCTTTGACATCTAAAAAGAGCAGCGAGGACAGAGGAGCCAGCACAGATGGGGGAAGACAGAAGCCACGGCACGTGAGGACCCCCCAGGAACAGAAGATCCAGAAACAAGGATCTACCTCCAGAGCTGACAGAGAGCCTGCCCCTAGAGCTGGTACTCTGAGTTCAGACTTCTAGCCCCCTAGACAAGGAGCTCTGGTGGCGTAGTGCCGAAGGCATTTGACCGCTAACTAGAAGGTTGGTGGTTCAAATCTACTAGCCACTCCGTGGAAGGGAGACTGGGTAATCTCTATGTCTGTAAAGGTTTACCACCTTGGAAACCCAACGATGGTCACTGTAGGTCAAAATCAACTTGACGGCAGTGAGTTTGTTTTGTTTTTTTTTAGCCTCCTAAACTGCGGAATGAATTTCCACTTGTTAAAGTCACCTAAGGAGCTCTGGTGGCATAGTGGGTAAGACATTTGGCTACTATCAGAAGGTTGGAGGGTCAAACCCACTAGCTGCTCTGTGAGAAAAAGATGAGGCAATCTGGTTCCGTAAAGATTACAGCCTTGGAAACCCAATGGAGGTCGTTATGAGTCAGAATTTGAGTCAGTGGTAGAGGGTTTGGTTTTTTGGTTTAAGTCACTTACTTGTGGTATTTTTGTCATGGCAATGGTAGATAACTAAGAGAAACAGTAACACCCTGTTCACAGCTGGGTAGTGTTTTACAGCGAAGCAAAAAGCCTTCTCACCTCGTCCCTCCATCTTCCCAACAGTTCCGTGAACCGGGCATCCTTTATTTGTGATCTCCTGTCTAGATGAGAAAACCGGGCTTTGGCTCATTGGACTGGTGAGTCGAGTTCCCCCTTCTGACTCTAAAGCCAGATTGGGTTCTCACGGCTGATTCTAGGCGTAGTAGGAGATGCACCATTCTGTGCCTCTGCTCATGATCAAATACCAAGTCCGCTGCCGCCAAGTTGATTCCGACTCAAAGCGACCCTCTAGGACAGTGTAGAACTGCCCCATAGGGTTTCCAAGACTGTAGATCTTGATGGAAGCACACTGCCTCATCTTTCTCCTGTGGAACAGCTAGTGGGTTGTAACTGTCGACCTTTTGGTGTCCAGCCAAATGCTTTAACCATTACACCACCAGAGCTCCCAGTCATGACAGACATCACTAATTGATAATGGTAGGGCAGACATTGCTAATCAATTGCAGCACTCTTTTCTAATGGGCTCAGAAGCAGCTGTGAACTCCTCAACACAGCACTTCAGACCACTATTACCCATCAGAAGAACAAATCTACAGTATTTCCAATTCCTGTGATCCCAAACCATCAGCCATGACTCCTCAGAACCCAGGCACAACCCCAGTACTGTAGTCACCAGACCACAAAACCCCACACTCTGCCTATCAGCTGCCATGTTGTTTCTAGACAGAGGTTACTGGCTCCTCCATCCCCCAAACAGAGGTCCTTTCCAAGCACGGTCTCTGTCGGAGATCCTGCAAGTATGTGAGTTTTCCTGGGGCTTCAGGTTGAGTTCCACCATCCGTCTGTTGTACTGTGGTGGCTTACGTGTTGCCATGATGCTGGAAGGTATGCCACTGGTATTTCACATACCAGCAGGGTCACCCATGGTGGACAGGCTTCAGTGGCGCTTCCAGAGTAAGAGAGACTAGGAAGAAAGGGCTGGCAATCTCCAGTCAGCCCTCCATATCCCCAGGTTCCTTCCACACCATGTATTCAACCAACCACAGATCAAAAATATTCAGAAAGAAAGAAATTCCAGAAAGTTGCAAAAAGCAAACTTTGAATTTGCAGGGTGCCGAGCACTGTGCTGAATCCACAAGGGGTGGGGCACGTGTGCTGTCGCCTCGCGCCTCTCCACAGATCCTCAGTCTCTCTCCAGCCCCCGTCTCCTTTCTTGGCTACTTGTGTTGTGTACACCCTTCGTTTCTGTGTAAAAACAGCTCCTGAAAAGCAATGAAGTGATCAAAGGGACCCCTCCGAGGCCGAGAGGGAGCTTCAAGGGTTACTGATGTCACGTTGGCCTTGAGTTAGGTATTACCAGGAACCCAGGGATGACTTGAAGTGTGCAGAGGATGTGCGTAGGTTGTGTGCAGATACTGTGTCGTTTCGTGGATGAGAGCCTTGAGCATCGGTGGATTTTGGTATCTGCTGGGGGTGGAGGGGTCAGGAGAGGTGGTGGGATGGGATGGGCAGTCCTGGAGTCAGTCTCCCACGGGTACCAAGGGATGGCTGTCCTTCTGAAAACTCGTCCCGAATGGTCACAACAGAACACTGA